ATTTCTGGACTCCTGTAAAAGTTGCTGATCGGTTTGGTAGCTAGAACTGCATTTGGATAGAATATTTTCTCATTGTCGAATCTTAAAAATACCGTTGTCAGAATGTTCATCTCTTCAACAACCATCTGTGAGATATCAGATGTTAGTCAAGCTGACGGTAACTATAGAATCATAATTCACAAGCCATTTCAGGATTAGGGGAATCACCTGTACTCCATCAATGACACAACGATCACCTACATCAAATGGATGCATCACAAATACAAATATGATGGCCTCAAACACAGTTTTGGCCATGTTGCCAAACATGAATGCTATGAGTAAAAGTTGAGAGGAGATGAAGAGGAGGACTCCAGTTGTCAAAACTCCCATTAGGAGTAACGTTGCAATAATACTCACAACAATCACAACCACTATACCGATCTTGTTTAGCTCCTCTATGGCTGTTTTGCTATCACTCAAAGAAAATGCCAACGATTTGCGTTCAAGATAAACGTTCACCTGCAATCATTTTAAGTTAAAATGATTTGCTTAAAAAAAGTCAGATTGATTTTAAGTTATAAGAACTAAAGGTTGTTTTAACCTTCACCACTGCTTGACATCATAGCTTTCAAAAAATGATCTAAAAATGTTTTAAAGAAATAATTTTTTTGTTTGTTATTTGGATGCAAAACAATACACATTTATCCGGTGTGTTCCTGGCCTGATTTCTTGATGCAGAAAAGGAAGTCTTAAAAGTGGATATATCTCAATAATAAAGATATTTACATAATTGTAATGTTTATGTGTTATTAAAGCATTTAGCTTGTTTAGAAATTATCAAGTATAGGCTTATTACTAGTATGAGTATATATTCTTCTATATTATAGGTTATAGAAGAATATAACCTATAATATAGATTGACTTAAGATTTTTAGTTTTCGTTGTAGTTTGGTTCTTATAGGATACCCTATCTTAGTTTTTTGGTAGACTTTCATATGATTATTTCAAAAAATACTGAGTTGTTTATTTGATTATTGGCATCCGAGAGCTTAATAGATTTTTTTCAAGTATTGCTGATTTGATTACTGATTTGATTACTGAGTTCTCTCTCTCTCTCTCTCTCTCTCTCCTGTATGACTTCTTTTTCTAGCCAAAGCATAAGGTTCACTCTAGGATGAGTTGGCATTTTGAAGATATTACAAGGCTTGGACCCCTCTGCCTGTGCTAGAAAGCAGCCCTATTTGACTTGATAAATTCCCAATAATAGTTCATTTATATTTTATTGGGAGTTAAAATTTATGAAGAGATATTTTTAATACTACTAATTTTCATACAGAATTCACTTACTATATTTGCCTGTGGTGGATGTAGGTACATTGACCAAACCTAGTAATTCTTGTGTGATCTTCTATGCTATGTTTTCTCATCCTCAATAATGAGTTGCATACATCTAGATATGGAATATATACACACTCTAACAATCATTCAATGGTGTACAGGAGGGGAAATGGTATCCAGATGAAAACAGTATTGAAAGTTGTTAAAAGTCATTTCATTATGCATCAAAACAGTAGAATAGAAAAGCAATTTAGTTGTGCAGCTTACCAGCCAATTCTTCAAAGCTTTTCTCTTCATCTTTTTAGATTCTGCTGCGCCTTCAAATAATTGAAACACGCGGTCCACTTTTTCCTTTTCCATGAACCGCAAAAGATCATCCTCTTCAATGTACCTAATTCATTAAACAGAAAATCAATTAAAAAGAAATAGTAGAATTACCAAATTGCAGGAATTTCTGTTGAAATTAGATATCCTCACCTGCTGTCAGGCTTAGCCACATTTCTGAAAATCCGGTAAGCAGCTGCCTTAGCTTCCCGCTCGCTGTTAATTTTCTCGTCCTTTTGGTCTTCCTCCTCAGCATGAACAGAGTCCAGAGAGTGTGATAAAGTATGCAGCCCTGAACCACTTACGATATCAACCAAGCCTTTCATATCCCAAGCAGAAATTTTTTGTTGATTTGATTTGTTAAGCTTTTCTACATCAACCATTTCCTGTTTTTTTGTCTTGTCGTTCCTGAAACTTAATTGACTATTTGATCTCCCAACTTGTGGTCCCTCCATCAATGGAGGTCCTGAAAGTGTCTGAACAACATACTGATGGAAAATCGAATCTTGAAGCCGTTCAAAGAATCTCTTAACATGAAAAGAAGCAGCAAGTGTCTTTATCAAAAGTGTTTTAAGCAGCCATAGAGCCGCCCCAATAAGACAAGCAGCAAGAGCCTTTGTAATATAATTTAGAACACGTTTTGTATGCTTTGATCTTGGTACTCCGTGGATAAACAGCAATCCCCAAGCTAAGAGAATAAAACCAAACCAAAGAAAAACTCGGAAACTCTTCCTCACCCCAAAAACAAAGTACATAACCTTCTTTCTAAGCAAAAAGTTTCTTTCAATGGCGAAAACCAGAAGTTTCACAAACCATCCAGTTACCAATCGCCCACAAACTATCACCTCCAGTAAAACACACCATCTCCATAATGCTAGACTCCAGATGGAGGTGTTTTCCAATCTGTCAACAGTTAAACTCGCAACCAAAATTCCAGTCAGACATGCGAATACAATCCACTCAATCCATTCAAATAACACACTCACTCTCCACTTCTTACGTGTCTTCTTTTTACTCACCTCAAGAACCGCAGTCTTGTAAATCTCATCGTCATCTTCCTCATCCTCTTCATCCGTCGAATCTTTTGAAACGGAATCAGTCCTGTTCACCGGCGAACCGGGAGCAGGTGAGCTGGACTTTTTTGCCTGTACTGGCTCAGAAAATCTTGATTTGGGCTTTGGCATTGAAGAGGAGGAAAGCGAATTTTGTCGTGATACGGGCTGAGTTGGGATCTCGGTCGGCTTACCTGGAGTCCTTGCATTCATACTTGGTGTCTCGGGAGAAGTTGAGCTTGAAAACGTCGACGTTTCTAGACTGCTTTTGGTATTTTTAAGCTCTGTTAGCTCAAGCTTTTGGTCATTGACATTCCCTTTTGGGGAAGATTTTGTTTGTCCACTGGTTTCTTCGGGGGTTGAAATCTGGAGTATGACATCGTTTGTTCCTTTCTTCTCCGTCACGCCTTTCACTGTTTCCATTAGAGGAAGCTTTACTCTCACAGTTGAAACCTAATCGCCTTTTATCATTTGCCTGTCCAGACCTCTGTCTTTTTCTTTTTTGAACTTGCCAGGAGGAACAACGAGCTTTACCGGGAGGAAATTAGAAGAGACTGAGGACGGGAGAAGAGAGTTTTTATTTTGGTCAGCAAAAATTTGATTGGGAAAACCGGAATCTAATCCGTCCTGGGGAAGAAATGAAACATTCTCGGTGAACAAACAGGTTTATTCCTGAGAGAGGAGGACAGCTTGGGTCAAAGTACAGAAAATAGATTCAAATGTCGGGTGGGTACTGCCAAAAACGAAGTACGTGTATATTTATATATATATATATATATATAGAGAGAGAGAGAGAGAGAGAGAGAGAGAGAGAGAGAGAGAGAGAGAGGTTTCGAACCATTAGCAGGATTAAGAGACTTTCATGGGAAACACCGAAAAAAGGACTTTAATAAAGAAAATGAGACAGTGGGAATTAAATAAATGGAGAGCATAAGACAAGGGAGAAACAGGGAGCTGCTGCTGCAACGAATTGACCAAAGGAAAGAAAACCATTAGGTTCCCGGGAAAGTTCGTTTTAATATATAAATTTGGGCAAAACATGCAACTTTCTCATTAACCCTTTAAAAATTTACTAATTTTGGGTTAAAAAAATTGAAATTTACAAAATCCGAGTAGCAATTAGGTGCCGTGAATAATCTCTTCTTTTGGCAGTAAAATGATAAAAAGAAAGAAAGAAAGAAAAAACAGCTACAATTAGTGAGCAACAAATTTCGCCAAAGAATTTTATTGGTTGTAGCTTTTTATTACCGAAATACAAAATAGTTTTATGTACTAATTTAAATCCTCAATCAAATTCCTTTATAAACTCTAAATTTTTGTTTTATTCAAACTGATTTTTCGTGGATGCAAATATAAATATCCATCAAAAACTCATTAGTATTATTACTTGTGTACAAGTAACTTATAATTTGCTATGTTTACGTTATAAGTATTGACATGATATTTACGTATAATATGTTTTTACGTAATATGTTTCAAAATATTAATGAACAATAATAATAATATATATTTTTTAGAAATATTTTTTTTAGTAAATGTTATATATTTATTAATTATTTAAGATATACACATTATGTAACACCTCAAAAAGACATTTATTTTATTTTTTAAAATTGTATTTGATTTTTTTGCTATTATTTTTATTTTAATTATTAATTAAATTATAAGGTTATAATTTAATTTATTTTTATTTAATGGGAATAAAAATAATAATAATGATAAAAATGGATAAAATTATTTTTAGGAATTAATTGAAAATGATTTTGTGAAAAAGGAGTGAAAATTTAGATTATGGGGGTGTTTTTGAAAGAAAAATCAAAAACTGGGGGTCAAAACACAATTTAAAAAAGTTGTGCCACGTTGGCAGCTCAGTCAGCAGCCCCGGTCAACCAGGACACGCCGCGTGGCAAGGACGTTGACGCGGGAGGCCACGCAGGACGGAGCCACGTGGGTGATTCACGTGCACGCGATCGAACGATCCACATTTCACGTGTGCGGACGGCCCAGATCTCACAAGCACGGACGTCCCAGATCTCACGCGTGCGGACGATCCAGATTGAATCACGCACGGACGGCTCAGATCGCATCGCAATGGACGGTCCAGATTTATTCCTATTTTAATCGCGATCGGACGACCCATATTAAATCGTGATGGACGGTTGAGATTAAAAGGGAAAGGTTATAAATAACCTCACCCACACCCAACCCCAAACCCTAGCCGCCAGTACCCTCGCCAGAGAAGAAGAACCAGTCACCGGAGGAGCCGGCGGCCGCCACCCGCCGCCGCACCGGAGGATTTTCCGACCGCCAAACGTGGTAAAGTTTCTCTCCTTGGCTCGTTTTTCGATGCTGAATCTGCCTATGGCCAAATTGGAGCCAAACCACTGGCCAATCGGCCGAAAAACACCGTCGAAGTCCAGCGGCGCCGTCGCGGCTTCCCTCGATTTTTGCCTTCGATGAAGCCCTTCCCGGCTCCCGTTCGATGCAATTTTTACACCACTGTGATCACCATCCTTTTCTCTACAGGTTGACTGAAGCAAAACATCAAATCGCAACTCGCGTTGGAGAAGCCGCCGCACCCGAGAGCTCTATCGCCGGTAAGTCTCGGTTTGTCGTGATTTTTTGGCCCACCGAGGGCCCTAGGGTTGTTTTATTGCAGGAACCAATGCATGTTTGGCCGAAAACGGCCAACCCGAGGCGGATTGCCGTCGCGGACGGCGGTGCCGTCGCTGGAGCACAGAGGAGCCACCGTGCCGAAATTCTGAAATTGGCCGAGTAGGCCCTTGGTCTGATTTTGAGTTTTTTCGGGACACGTGTAGGTACCGGAAGTGTATTTCAATTCTCGAAGAAAAATTTAGAAAATCTAGAGATTGCCCGTAGGCGCAGTATAAAGTCGATTTCAAACTCCGAAATAAGTAAGAATTTCTCATCCTATTTTCTATCACGGTATTAAAGCTCAATAAATGATAAAACGGTATTTCATGAATTGTGTATAATTAATTAAAGTTGCTAATGGAGCCCGAATCTGATGTATTTTTCGGTCAGTTGTTGTTTGATCTATTTTACAGTTTTAAATGCAGTATGGTATCTGATGTGTTTATTTTATGGTTTTGTGTGCATGAATCACGGTTTCGTTTATTAAGGTTTGAATTATTGTGAACCCGTTGTTGTCTTGTTTGGTGTTCATTACTGGTTTACGTGTTTATGTTTGATTGGATAATTGAGACAAAAAAAAAATAAAAAAAGGTATGTGAATTGAAAAATGGATAATGTCGACAGCCTAACTAGATATACTGAGAGATGGTGGACGGACCGAGTCCGTAGGGAACCCTACCAGGAACGTGGTCTCTCATATCGGACGGGGTATGGAGACCTTATGTGTTTTGGCGCCCATACCGGACGGGGTATGGGGACGACCCGTTTCACCCTCATACCGGACGGGGTATTGAGGTTTATGATTTTTGGCGCCCATACCAGACGGGGTATGGCGACGACCCTGAATCAAGTTATCAATATGAATGGTTCACGTGTAGCGGGGAACCCTATGGATGGATACTAGTAGGCTAATAAAAGAAGAAAATCTGTTGTCTGATGATTGAAATGCAAAGGTATGATATGTGTTATGTTATAAAGTGTGTATGATTTCATGATATTATAATGTTATTGTTTTCTTATGTTGTTTTCATGAAACTCACTAAGGTAAGTGGACAGTAAAGGGTTTTATTATTGATAAATAAATTTATCATGAATTATGCTCCATTGGTCGTTTTTGTTTTCTACCAACCTTTACTTCAGTGACAGTGAGATAGTGTGATGTCTTTATTGAGCTAGTGTAGCTCATTCCTTATTTAACCATTTCAGATCAGGAGGATTTGATTCCCAAGCCCGTCCCGCAGGAAGACGTCTAAGGATTTCATAATTTTATTTATAACATTCATTACTAGTATTTACCTTAATTAGTTTATTCTTTCATACGTTGAATACATTTTTGGTTATTGTGTAAGGGATGTTAATCAGAATTTTCATTTCGCTTCCGCACTTAGAACTTTTTAATACATACATTTCATTTTTATTTCCGGGGCCGTTACAGTTAATATCAGAGCCGCGTTCCTTGCACTCATCTCTTACACAATAATGCTTAGAGAAATACCCACCGATAAATCATTACTCAACTCTTCCTTGTGAAATGCAGGTGTAGAGAAATGAGGAGAGGAAGACCCCCACTAAACCGAGCAGCCCGGGACTATTCGCTTCAGGAAGATGTGGACAGAATATTTGAGATGCTGGAAAGGATCATGGCTGCCCAGCAAGGTCGAGAGGAGAGAAGGGAGTTACCCGAACCTCCCCCACTACCACAGGTTGAGCCACGGCTACAGCAAGCGGATCCCGAGCCACCTCGGCACGAGCCTGCTCCACCACAGTACCACCCGGCACCACTGCCGCAGTATGAACCAGTGCCCCAGCCACCGTACTACCCGGCACTGCCACAGTACAATCCGGTGCCCCCACTATATCATTAGGTACCACCACAGGGCCCCCCAGTCTATCCCCAGCCGGCTCAGTCCCTTTTCCACAGGACCCAGCTCCTTCTTTGATCGACCCAGGTTACATAGAGAGGTACAGGAGACTGAACTCTTCCACTTTTGTAGGAGGATCCTCTTTCGAAGATGCCCAGTACTGGTTGGCGAAGACCGAGAGAGCTTTCAAGACCTTTGGAGTGGTTCCTGAGCAGAGAGCTGCCCTTGCTTCCTACATGCTGGTAGGGGAAGTAGGTTGTTGGTGGGAGCTCAAGCAGACCACCCTGCCTACACCAGCTACTTTGGAGCAGTTCGTAGCGGCCTTCCATGCGGAGTATCTCCCTGAGCACATCCGACACCTAAAGGAGATGGAGTTTGTTCAGCTGGTCCAGGGAAACATGACGATATTGGAATATACTCGTAAGTTCCTAGAGTTGGGCTGATACTCCCTGGAGACATTGATGGATGAGAGCAGGAAGGCCAGGAGATTCCAGTGGGGCCTTCGCCCAGAGATCAAACAACACTTATTGGTACTGAAGCTTAAGACATACTCAGCTGTTCTAGCAAAGGCACAGATTGTGGAGAGGAGTTTCAACACCTGTCCTCAGTCAGCAGGGAGTCACCGACCCTCAGCTCCACCCTGCAGACCAGCACCTACTACGTCGGTTCAACCAAATAAGAGGCCTAGACCAGTGATCCAGGCCCCTCCTCAGGCTCTAGGGGCAGCACGTGGAAAGATCTGCCAGCACTATGGCAGGGATCACGGGGACCGACCATGCTACCGTCTCAACAACACCTGTCGCATATGTGGCAGTGCCCAGCACTATGCGAGAGAGTGCCCGAGGAACCAGAACCAAGGAAGACCTCCTTTTTAGGGCAGGGTTTACAACTTCACCTAGCAGGATGCCGACGCCGACCCGGACGTGGTATAGGGTATGTACACTATCTGTGACCATATTGCTCATATTTTATTTGACACTGGTGTATCGTATTTATTTGTTTCACATGTTTTTGCATCCAAACTTAATATATCACCTGATAAACTTGATTCAATGTTGTTTGTGTCTACTGCTGGGGGTGAAACACTATTAGGGGAAGTTGTGCACAGGGCTTATGCCGTAGAGATAGGTAATAGGAAACTGAGTGTAGACATGATATGGTTAGACATGGGGGATTTTGATGTAATCTTAGGAATGGATTGGCTAGCGGCGTATCACGCCATCAT